CGTGGGACTGGGTGGGGTGTGGAGGGGTAGACTGAGTGTGTGTGTGTGTGTGTGTGTGTATGTGTGGTGTCACACACAGCTGAAACTGATGTGAAAAGGAATGTGCTCTTGGACATTTGCAATGGCCAAATGGATGGTTAAAGGTTCAAGAAAGCTACCCAAGCTCAGGCATAGTGACATCCAAGTGACGACAAAACAGGCCTGGTTATGTGCCACCTCTTGCCCTTAGCGTCCTGGTCACTGCTTTCTGTTGCAAAGATGTGCTCGCTTGAACAGCAAGGAAAGATATTCACCCCTTCAGATTTGTACTGCTTGATGCTACAAAGGCATGCTAAGGACACACAAAGTTGCTTGGCATGTAGAAAGAATGATGGGAGTCGAGAAATGTGCTCACTTGCCTTTTTTGCCTCCTGTAATGAAGAAGCCGATGGCTGCTCTGATAAAACTGCTTTCAGGCAAATAGCTATAGTCCGTTGGAACTGTGGAGACAGAAAACGATCAAATTAACCAGTGAACTTGGCGGGACTAATGAAGGAAAGATAATGATCTCATGCTGCCATATCAACCCAGAGACAAAGCAGAGATGTTTATGCTATTAATCTCGACACAATACTCTGGCTGCAGCTAATTCTATTAGACTAAGTGACTGGCCTTGAAGTACTGTAATCACTTAGACTCTGAAAGCAAATAAAAACCGGTGGCCAACCTCGCCAAGGCTGACAAATCACAGAGGCTAAAAACTTTATTGCCGTGGTTAAAAAATTCTTCCATGTTGTCACATCAACGAGCCCCGATCCAGTGACCTCATCAGGAGTCTGCTAGGCTTTTGAACTAAGACCACCATTCCAGGGGTCACTTCAGGACATGCTGAGTCAGCTATATGAACCATGCAAATTCAACAACCAGTATTAATGGTGGCCAGGCTCTCGCTTCATGAGGTAGAGACCTCTAAGTGACCAACATGTGCACATAACCAGATGTGGTTGCTGACCTGGAACAGGGAAGCAGTGACATTTATGCTAGTTAAGTCCTGGGAGTCTCCTAAATTCTTTTCCTCCTGGTCCCCCATAATTGTTTCATGAGATGGTTTCTACTGCAATAAATGGCTCAATTGGAAAATTCCACCAGGGACAAGTAGCTGTACTTTTCCAGACACATAATCATTTTTCTCAGAAGAGCTTGGGTGTAAAATGATTGACTCCAACCTGATTTAAGAAACACTTGAGCCAGACCATGTATCCCAAAACATAGCAATGAAAAACCTACATAAAAGAACAAAAGCCTGACATAAACACGGTATTGTAACAGGTCTCGGGGAGAGCCTTGCCCTTCAAAACTGACATCACCAGGGCTGGTTGGTTTGTCTCTCTCCTTTGCCCCCATTTTAATGCTACAGCTTCTAGCTCGTTGTGCTTGGAAAAGCATAAGACAATGTCCAGTTTCTGCGGCTTTGGAGTGATTGAAACAATAATTACAGTAATCCCCCCTCACCCAGATGCTGTCCTTAGCCTGTCAGTGGCTATGCGAGACTGTTTCAATTAGAAGTCTCCGGTACCTAAGCCTGCCTGGCCTGGGTCCAAGATAGCCAGTAGGTCAAAAGTCTACAAAGAGCAAGGAGCAGATGTAACTCTCAGTGTATTAACACTGATGGCTCCTCCACTAAACTTCCAAGTGAAAATGTAAATGAAGCATGTGGGAACTACAAATATTTTTATTGCTTTTATCAAAGCACTGGAGAGAAAGAAAAACAGTGTTATATCGAGACTCAGAATTCAACTGCAAGGCCAGGGAGGTACACATCTTTAAATGCACTTATCCCATTATTTTTTCTGAAGCAGGGTCATAAAAACTACGGCCATATTTGAAAAGACTTGTAATGGGGCATGACTATGCTACAAACCACCATTATAGTTAACAAAACCAAAAGAACTCTGCCCCAAGCTTCAAGAAACTGGCTCCTGGGATCTTTATTACACGAACTGTATGCAAGTCATGTCATCTTTCTGGGCTGCACGGTCCTCATTCGTAAGACCTTGAGGTTAGACTGTATGTCCGAACTGATTGCTAAGGGAGGCAGAGAGGGAGACTGAAAAGAGCCACAGAATTGAGTTCAAACTGCAGGTTCGCCACCCCCTGGTGAAGTCACCAAACCTTTCCACACTCAGTGTCCTAATGTGAAACAGGGATGGTACCCAGCACTGGCAGTTGTCATGGAGATGAATGCCCACCACAAAATGCACAGTACTGTAGTAACAGCCCCTCCTCCTTCCAGGGCTAGCCTTTTGGGACTTGGATCTTACCAGAGGTTCTACTTTGATTTGATGACACAGTAGAGAGATGAAGATGTCCTAGAAGCCAGATTGCATTTGACTGAAGACCAATCACCCCAGACACACTGATGACCTACGGATAAAAACGTAGCAGTTCCTTGATGGGCTGAGATTCAAGTCCCCCTTTCGATGCCTTCTAAAAAAGGTGACTCCCAACAAGTCACGCATCTTTTTTTTTTTTTTAATTCATGCATCTTTTGTGAAGTGGTGGCCTACTTGATAAGAAGTACTGGTACTGTTATGTCTACTACACTTCACCTGGGACATAACAGGTGTACAATAAGTGTTTGCTGAACAAATGAATCAATGAACAATCATGACCAAAGGTAGTGGGTCTCCCTGAGTCAGGCAGGTCTCAGGGAATTTTCAGGAAATGGTAAGTGGAAATCCAGAATAGAATAGAGGTGACAGTTATAACTAGATTGCCTATAAAAATAGGAGATACATTTTGCTGTCTACTTAAATAAGAAAGTTCTACGATCACTTTAAGGGGTTCGGTGGTTAAGCACGCTGCTATCAACTAAAAGGTTGGTGGTTTGAACCCACCAGTCACCTCTTGGGAGAAAGAAATAGCAGTTGGCTCCCCAAAAGATTAAAGCCTTGGGAATCATATGGGGCATTTTACTCTGTTGGGTGAGAATTGACTCATGTGTCCCAGTGTGTTACCATTACCATGTTATCATCCATACTATGACGCTCCCAGAAATATTTTCCCGTTACAGTCATTTCTCCCAAGCACCTTACATTTCAGTAGAATTCTTTTTTTAAAAAAATTCATATTTATTGATGCAGAAGAGAATTTCTTTTATTCAGAGATTCATGTTTGCTTTTAATCGTGTGAATTACTAAAACTCCTTTATGTGGTAAGAGTTTTCTAGGAAGGAAAAAAAGGCTGCTAACTGAAAGGAGGGGGAACATGTCCTACACAGTCTGTAAGGATGCCAACCCCCGCAAAGAAAGCAGCAATGTGTAAAAAGGCCATGGCCGAAGGGTAGTAGGGCTTCTCTGAGTTGGGATAACAGCCATATTTTAAAGTTTCTCACCATCTCTATGCTCAATTTTTTTTTTTTTGCAGCGAGTATGGGCCTCCTTTGAAGTCGGAACTATCACTCAGCAGGTGGGTATGTTTATGGCTGACTTGCGAGTTAATGACAACTGGTGACTGGCCCCACCCCTGTCAATGGTACCATCAGCCCAGTGCCTCGTGGCCACTCTGCCAGGATATCTGCCCTGCCCTTTGATTGCCTTCTATTTTGCCTTGTCCCAAGGGCCAGCCATTCCTTGCAGGATCAGGTTTTCATTTCTAAGTTGGGGGAGGGGGGGGGCAAGGGCCACTGGAAACTGCAACATGCCAGCTATCTTTTTCCTGCCAGAGGCAGTGCATGTGTGCCAGCGGCGCGGGACCCACTGGATGCACTCCTGCAGCCCTGGGAGCTCCTTGTCGCTAAAGAAGTCCTCACATTGCAGACAAAATTCTATGTGTTGTTATACGGAAAACAAACAAAAACACAGGCGGGGGAGGGGCACTGTATTCTCATCCAAGGGTTTTAACTTCCTCTTCTCACCTGAGTTAAGGTCCTGATGACTTCATTCAGTCGGCCTTGAAACTGAGAGGTCTGGATGGCTTCTGACTTCAGCTGAAAGAATAAAGAGACACATCGAGCCCCTCGGCCCGACCAGAAAAAAGACATCAAGCACGCTATTCCCAGGGCAAGCACTACCGTCGTTCCAGCTGGAGCACAATTCACCACAGTGTCCTCATATCTCAGAAGCACAGGCTGTGAGCTCCACGGGGATAGGCCCACACTTTAACTTCTCGTGAATCCTGTGGACCAGTTCAGGAATGCATGCCCAGGAGCAGTCATCAGAAAGCTTTTACTGGATCAGCTAGGCCTAAGAACTTCTTTGAATGATTGGTAACATACACATGCATTTATTCACGGAAGTTATTTTGAGGTAAATGGTCAATTGCATAAGTAGGAATTCATACATCAGAGATACAAAATGGAGTGTCCCATGAGTGGCTTTAGATATTTCTTATCATTCAATCACTGTCTCTTGGGCAGAAACTTGGGGGAAAGTAGATGAATGGACAAGGCTTAATCCTTACAAACCAATTTAAACAAGAAGCAAATCTCTATAGAAAGAATTACTGGTCAAGACTATTTCCCCCCCACACAGAAAAAGGCATAGAAAAATCCAGTATACTCATTACCATGACCAGATATCCTTCTGTACTTAGTGGGTATTTTCCATCAGCTTTGGCTATTGATACATCTAGATTTCTTTCCTTCAGTAGATAGCATCTATCTATCTATCTATCTCTCCATCTATCGATCGATCGATCTATTTTTACCTGTATGACATCCCCTTCAGAGCCTACCAAGGCCACCATGCCATTAAGAGCTGCCAGGCAAAGCATCGTGGGAGTGCCCTGAAAACCAAACATCAGAATATGGCTAAGTGGCAAAGAATCACTCAGTCTGGAATCTATAAAAGTTATTCATACCACAGAGAAACAGGCCATTGAGGAAAAATTATACCAAACTAGGCGGTGAGCATAATCGGTGTAACTGAACCAGAGACTGGCAGAGATGAGGAAGCTAACAGATTCAGGCTGCTGACTTATGCATGGCTATTTGTTGGTTTTAGTTTACAGAAAGCACAATGTTGTTTCAAAATGGAGGCACTGATAAAATGGCCAGTTTCCCAAAACTTCCAGGTTGACAGAATGCATCACCTTTAAAGAATTAAAAGCACAGAACAGTTGATAGTTAGCTGTGTCTTTCACTTGGAATTGCGTGTCATTTTATCACTGAATAACCTGTCTTAGCTGCTCCTATAAATGGTCCAATAAGTAGTTCTCGTTCCTTTACATAAATGGAAAATGACGTGCATGCGGTGGACTCTACCTCTGAGAGAGCAAGTCTGATCCAGGCAGGAAGCAGCTTGTTGCCCAAGTCTTCTGCTTTTCCGTGTCCACAGACAGACAGACCATGGACTATGTTTCCTAAGGCCAGCGCAAAACCTGACGTCTGTTACGTAAATAAAACCGGGTAAGAAAGAGAGAGAGAGAAAATAATCCAGATTAGGAATGTTTATCTATAGCAACACAAGCACTTCTGGGGACTCTCTTTCCTACTGACAAGTCCTTTTGCCATCTGACAATCAGTGATGTGCAGATGCTTTATTATCTACACTTTGGTTTGCAACAGAAACTGCAGTCTAATTGCAAGGCGTTCGCCTTCTGTGAGTGGTTTATTTTAGGATTGTAATACTTTGGACTTAAGTGACTTAGCTCAAACAAGCCAAATTCTCCAAAGGGGTTAGGGTGCAAATACCAAGGAACTGAGGCCACACAAGACCAGTCAACTCCCGCCAAAGAGAAAACTTCCCAGAATGCACACATCATATGAAAACTTCTATATTTTAGTGATGCAAAATTTATTCTGAATGTAAGTGAACGGGCACATAATCATGTTAAAAACTAATAGGATCATTAGATGCTTGACAAGGGTGAATCATGTGTTAACCCACTGTGGCTGATATTAAGACTTTGCAAAAGGTAATAAAGAAACCCAAACAGGAGAAGATTGTAGCTTATATAATCAGTGGAAACAATTTAAGGATGTCGACTTTAATTTAGAGTATTGAAATTTTCCTCTATATTTTCAGTCCCGAGCAGAGATTCTCTGCCTGGAATTGGCTGAACTTATCAGAGCCCCACAAGTATAAGGTGACCAGACGTCCCACTTTTGGAGGGACAGTCCCAATTTTTAACAAATTTTCCCACATCCCGCGGCATTTTTAAAAAGTCCCGATTTTTGGAAAGAATGCATGACAAGCTAGGGTACATAGTTTTGGGCTGCCATGTGGCTATTTCGCCAGGATATGAGTTTTATCAATGGTGTCCCTCTTTCCCAATGTTAAAATCTGGTCACCTTACACAAGTATTCACCTCTTGCCAAACTTTTGTCCATCAAGGCTTTAGCCTTATATAACTCTTAGATTCTCTAGTCAGGTGTTTTAAGATTTTATGAACATAGAGCAATGGTTGAAGAAAGTAAAAAGCTTTTCAATCCTCTTAGGGAAAGAGAAAGGAAGGTCTACAGAGGAGTTAAGGTGTGAGGAGAGAAGAAGAAATGTGTGACTGTTGACTACAGCTGTAAGACAAGAGAATAGTCGCAGGTTCCTTAACTGGGACCCAAAATATAGCTTATGCCAGTCTACTTCAGGGTAAGTCAAAATCAGGACTTGTCAGCAACCTAAACCCACAGAGAGAAACCATCATAGAGTGCACTCCAACCTGCTGGTTGTTCTCTGCTAACAGCCGGAGTTTGTTCATAATATCTTCCGCCTCGGCAGCCTCTATAATCCCAGCACTGAATGCTGATGCGCACACACAGCTGACCGTATAGGCGAGAACCTGGGGGAGGGGGACAAATATGGCAAAAAATGTTTCCTCATTAAGAAAAATGAAAGAACACAGGCTGTCTGACGCGAGCTTTCTGTCAAACGTCTCTCCTAGAATAGAATTAGACTCCGTACACTTACACTGCTAGCATTGGTTTCTCCGTGACAAAGAAAAGCAGGTTCCACGGTAGAAATTGGGTACTGAATCCTTCAGAGGAGAGCTAGGGTGGGCACTGTGCGGTTTCCTAACGCATGCTATTGTATTTCCCAACAACATCATGAGACAGGTACTGTTATTCCTACGTCACAGGGGAGGACTCGGAGGCTCAAGGAACCAATTCGAGCAAGTGACAAAGGGAGGTTTCAAACCCACATCTTCAGAAACTAAATAAAAAAAGTGTCCTCCACATCATACCAGGCAGAATGTAGAATGTAGCAATAGCAGAAACAGATGTTTAGCACCACTGCCAGCTCCCCATATACAAGGCCTCGCAGGAGAGGAAATCCAAAGAGGAAGTGAAATACGGCTCCATTGCACATTTCCTTGCAAGGAGCCTACCACCCCTTGGTCAGTGTGTGGTACTGTGGTGGCGTGCATGTTGCTATGAGGCTAGAAACTGGGTCAAATATTTCAAAGGTCAGCAGGATCACCTAAGGTGGACGGGTTTCAGTGAAGCTTGCAGATTAAGACCAGGAAGAAAAGCTTGGTGATCTACTAAAAGTTATCCAATGGATTACAATAGCATGTTGTCCAATCTAGTGCCGAAAGATGAGTCCATGGAAGGCATTCAGAACAGACCGAATCCCACGATGGACTCAAGCCTATCAGCAATCATAGAGCCAGTGCAGGGCCTGGCGACGTGTTGTTCTGTTGTCTCTGAGGTTGCTGTGAGTTGGAGCTGACTTGATAGCAACCAGCACTCTCAGTGGAAACCATGAAGCATAAGGGAACTGGAGCATGGGTCTTGGAGTCAGAGATATTGCGCAAAATGAGGTCAGTGATACTTGATTCATAGCACCGTGGTGAGACGTTAAGAAACAAATGGATAAATACATACAGGACCAAACAAACACATACATAAAATGTGAATACATTTGAAAACAATGTTGGGAAAACAGAAGGATTCTGGATCTCTCAAACCGACTTTCTTGGCTAAGTAACTTGGCGCAAGTCGTTCAAGCCATCTGTGCCCAGCTTTTGCCAATTAAGGTTACCCTCCCTCCCCCGGTACCTCAGTCTCCTGATAACACCCCCTCCTTTGTAAAGATGCTGCTAAGAGAAAGTGGGAAGTCTTCAACTGCTAGCACTGCTCTATAAACCATGGCAAATATAAGCAGTTTCTAAGGCAGAAACTGGGCGATAAATGGAGAGCAAACAAAACTGCTGGCTGCTTACAGCTTATAAATCAAGGCATCAGGCCGGCAGATGCTTCAATTGTAATAACCTAGCCTTCATTTATTAGTCAAATTGCTCATCTGCCCGAAAAATTTCTCCTGGAGCTTAATATAGATATGTATTATCTATACATCTTTAAAGCATGCTCCCCACATCTTTGAAAATGGAAATGCCGTGCAGGTCTTGGAACAAAACTTCAATCCTCTGTGCACCAATTCAACGAATCCTATTGCTGAGAGCAGAGGGCTGACCAGGGAAACACAGCCGCCATTATGTACTCCTCAATAGCTGGTGGGCAGGCTGGGATAAAACAGAATCTGCTCTAATGAGAGGGAGAGTCTGGCCAGGCCACGAGGTCAGCCCCAGCTCCTCCCCAGCAGAGCACAGGCAGGCGGCTAGATTTCACCTGGGCCAGACAGCACGGGCCAGCTTGTGCAGGGACACTCCGCCTAGGCGGCGGGAACCCCCGTGGGCTGGGTCACAGGCCCTGCGATTCTGCAGACTTTGCACTGCAAGAGAAAAGCTTTGCCGTGAAGCGTGGCAATGGGAATTTTCCTCAATAACTTTTCAGGCAGGGTAGCTGACATTAAAAAAAATCAACTTTGGTCTGCAGTTTCTTAAAGAGTCCTGGCCATTTTCTAAAGTTACACTTGCCTTGTGCACAGGTCTGAAAAATCTCCAGCTAGCCTCCCCCCAGAAACTGTCTCTTCTTGTTCTTCGAGAGAGAGCCTTCCAGGGATGCCGACCTGGGGCTGTGTATTCACTGACAGCTCGTATCTCGTCTGCCACGTGTAAGTCTGGGCGGATTCAAACAGCCGCACGGTTTGAAAAGCTCAGGATCGAAAGCAGGCTGTGTGCCACGCCATCTTTCTCGTGAAGCTGACACTGGAGAAGAATCTCATTCACAAGGTGACTGAATCACTAAAGGTAGGAAATAAGCCGCAGTAGGAAAAGAAAAGACCACAAAGAGGAAAGAGAAAACAAAACACAGCAACAAACCCCGCCGCCTCCACCGCTTACCTCCTGAAACGTTCGGCTCTGGCTCCCGCTGTCATCCAGGTGTGCTGAGAGCTTCCGCAGGGATGCGGCCACGTGGACCCGGGACTCGATTTGGTTGCTGTGGCTCATGAAGGATAGAGTGAGGCCAACTCCCAGTATGCAGCCCGTGCTTGGGAGCCGAAGAAAGAAGTGTGTTAGATGCATAAGCAAACCACGCTTCACCTACAGTGGGGGTGCACAGGGGGCTTGGTCAACTCCATAAACACATCTGGTATGCAAGCGGGCCGTGAACCACCGCAGGTGGGCCCACTCCTCAGCGCAAAGGAAAACTTTATGTTAAAGTAGGTGCCCACTGCCTTGCCCGTGCTTGTGTACCCACTGGGGAACAGCAAAACCCCGAAAATCGTTTGGTTTAAACTCTACAGCGAGGAGGGGATTCATAAAAGTGGAGAGAAGTCAGCTCTATTGCTACATGTCCGAGAATGCTACCAAGCTCCCGATAAATATGATAAACCGCAGAAGATGAACAGGACTCCACTACGTCCGACTCCAACAGGGAGGATACATTCCAGACACGATTACGGGGTCCTGCCAACTGCTTCGTGTTTCCTAGTAGACTTAACATCCAATTTCATTCCTAACGAAACGGTGTATTCCTCTGTGGACAAGGACTCGGATATCACTGGGTCAGAGGAGAAAATGGACAAAATCACCCCATCCAACCGGAACCTTGAGCTTTGTTCCCCAGTTACCTGAAAGAACACAGGTTCATTTCAAGGAAAACTGTTCTCCCAGGAAAGTCTTGGCTAGTCTAAGATTATTCCATTCGTGGTACATTTGTGTGTGTGTTTTTACTTCCTTGCTGTCGTTTGAAACTGAAGAAATGCCTAGTTTTTCTGAAGCTGTCCTCTCTCCCTGTTTAGCTTTCCTCTCTCTCCTCGTGTTAGCTGCTGCTGAAAATATTACAGCACTTTTCTCCAAGGGCGGGTTTTAAAGGCTCCATGTTACATCCGTTTGCTCTCAAATGGCATCTTTGCTCCTGGTTGGCAGCACGAACCTTTCACACAGTTTAAGTGCATGTTACTTACATCCTCCAGCACCTCTGAGTAAACAACGCTGCCCACAACTGGCCAGGGACACCCGAGAGGATGGTGAGGCTACAGGGTTTGCTCAAGGTCACCCAGAGACATTTTAGTACAACCCGCCAGCACAAGAGGGTCTGGGCTCCCAGGCTTCTGCTCCATCAGGCAAGCACAAGGCCCTGCTCAATGCCAAGCTAGAATGCCTAAGGGACAGCCATATAGCTCACGTGTACCTTTCCAGTTTCTATTACATAAGAGTCTGCCATTTAAAAACCCTTCGAAGAGAAGCTACTGCAGTCACAATCCATCATTAGCCAGGCAGAACTGCTGTTACAGCTCACATGAACTCAGCAACAAGCGCAGCGAGCAGAACGCATTTCCAACCAGCCGAAGCAACATCCAGCAATGTGAGCACCGCGTGCCTTAGAGGCAAATCACATTTCCCAACGAGGAAAAGCAGTTAGTGGCTCTTGCTTACAGCAACTGTAAAGGCTTTGTTTTAATTCAGGATCTATAAGGGGAGCTTTTTGGGCTATCTTTCTAAGTTGACGAATAAATAACTTTGCGAGTAATTGAGCAGACACAGAAGAAACAAAACTTTGCCGAATTTGACTTTTGCTTCCTATTTGTCTAGTGAATGCTTGTTTATCTTTACAATCTCAAGAATAATTTTCACAAGAACACCTTCTTCGGCCCACTACAAAATGTTGTGAATATTGTTCCACAGCATGGCACAATATTCACATTTTCCTTCACACAATTTTAACTGTGGACTCTGATGAGGATCGTTTGGAGGACTGATCGATTACTGTTTATCTCTTTCGCTAGCCTGTAAAAAAAATACAACAGTAAGTGCGAAATTGAGGTTTGGGAATTGCTAGCATAAATGACCTATAAGAATGCTAACACATAATGGTAAATTTAAGCTTTAACTTTCTATGTCCTGTTACGTCATTGCTCACCGAAGCCTCTCTTTCAAGTATATTAGACTAGCAGTGGCAAAAGAGAAATTCTGAAACTCTGCAGAGCCTGAACTGTGTGTTGCTATATTAAGACGTAATGATATACTTTTCTAAAATTAACCAGAGATGTGTCTTGAAATCTTTCATTTACTGTAGGCTTATCAAGCAGATTAAGTATGAGGCCATCTGATAATTACTCCTAATAACAGTTAACATTTGTATAGTGCTTTCACCTTACAAAGCGTTATACAAATGTTATTGTATTTGTAAAAGCTCAATAGTAATTAACCAAAGCGAAGGTCCTTGATGGATCCCTTGACTACAGTTCGGGTAGTGAGGAGGACCATGACACAATGAGATGTCCACTAGATGGCAGCAAAATGCAAGTTAAGGGACCACAAAAGGGCTTGAACCAGGTGTTCAGTTCCCCTAGCAGAGACCCGTCCATTAAATCAGGGAAGCGTGGTGAATTTGCTCTGGGTGAATTCTATCACTCGAGGTAGCATGCTCCCAGATCTATTAACTACCTCCTGGTAACGCGTCCACTATTTCAGTGGAAGGAGGATTACCCTAGACTCCAGCAATCTCATCAGACAAGGGAATACTTTATGCCAGGAGTCAGGCATTCATGCCTGGGCCTATTTAGGGGGAAAAAAAAAAAAAAGCCCTGCCTAGCTCCCTTTATTGAAGGAGCACCACCTGTCCAATAAAGAAACGCTACAATGTCAAACATCAAATTGCTTTTGTTCTATTGAAATGCACCCTCCACACAGTACTGTGAGAGAGAAAGAAAACTGGCTTTGAAGTCAGATGCCCTGGGATCCCCCAGCTCTGCCACTTAGAGGGTGTGACCTTGAACTAGTCTCCTAGACCTTGCGTCCATTTTCTTTATCTTTAAAACAAAGTAATGATGGCACCTGCCTTTGTAACAGTATTTAGCTTGTGATAAGGATTCAGTTGCATGAAAAACAGATGTGAAAATGCCTAGCACGGTCTGAGCTGCTCGGTAAATAGTTGAAACGGAAACCAAGGACGCAAAGACCAACATCCTCCAGCAGTAGCAATGATCAAGCACTGACCTGCGCGGGCCTTAGGACCGACCGGCAGGAGCACACGGTGGGGAGCAGAGGCAGAGGACCCTGAAGGACCTGAGCTCTTCGTGGGGCTGAGGGCTGAGTAAGATTTCACAAATGTGGATGGAAAACGCCCCATGGTCTGATTCTGTTTCCCCTGCAGGCCTAGCCCTCTGTCTGGGCTCGCCCTTCCCTCTCCCAAGTATTCATGAGGAAGGTGAGACTTGAGAAAGAAGGTAAAATCTAAAGCTAAATATTTGGGGGGGTCAAATAACATTTTTACGTCCTTAAATGCTCATAATGGGCAATTTGGTTACCTCCATGGTCTCCCTTACATTCAAACAATCATTGTGCAAAGGAATGGTGGTAATGCATGAAAGTCACTCCTAACAGTCCCAATTGGTGGAAAACGTGCCATGTACGCTGCAAACACCCCCCACACCTTTACGACACTGTGAGCTACTCTACTCCTCTATAGGGTAGAGGTAGGAAGGAGAAAGATGTGGGGTGGTGGTGGTGGTGCATGCATGGACGAGTGCACTCCCACACACATGGGCACATGAACGAAATCACCTTACTCAATGGTTATAAAAGGCAGCAGCACTAATGTGTAGATTAGGCCCAGCATTTCAACCCTTAGCTACATGGTCCTTCTGTATAGTCCAGAAACTTCAACCAGGCTACCACATACTTTCTTTTCCCACATTAAGGCCACATTCTTCATCCCTAGGGTTTCTTGATAAATTGGGTGTCAATGGCTCCTATCCAATCTTAGTCTACATTTGAAAGAAAAGCCCACACCCATCACCTACAAACGCACAATCAATTTTATTCCCTCATGAGGAAGTACCGGATACAGGCAGCTACTCTTCTGCTACTCTGAACCTAACAGGCTGGATGGTATGATTATAGCTTTAGGTCATAAACTGTTAAAAAGCAAAAATACAAGCACTAATTTCACTCATATTTGAACAACCCACAATAACAAAAAAATAAATGAGCTCAATAAAGTGGAGGTTAGTGTGTACAATCTCGTGTTTGCTCGTATACCCTCTCCTCACTTACCGACATGTTTAGATTCCAAAGACCAGGCCATTGTGTGAAAATGGAAGGTGACTATACTATTACATAACTGCCAAATTTCATCATTGTGTAACTGTCAAAAGTCATCAAGCCACTAAGAAGCATGGCTCAGTCAAGTTGCCAGCAGCCAGCCTGTTCTCAGGCCCGCCTCTGGGTTCACAGCTGCCAGCCAGCCAGCACTGAGACCCAAAACCATCCACAGGTTCTTCCCTATTGCTGTACATGTGAAATGAATGTCATAGAAGGAATTAGTTGATGAGAGGAGTAAAGGCAACAATGAACCCCTAGAGGATCAACCCTCTGATGTCCAAATATGTACGGGCCCCAAAAGGTTCAATACCCATCCTTAGTGGTGTCAATATTTCAGAAAGCCTGACACAAAACTATAGATTCACCACACAAGTGACAAGACGAATTGAAACGTTGAATGTCTCACTAAAGAAACACAACTAGCACTGTTTTTGAGATATTCTCTTCTAATTGTTCATTTTCATATGGTTATACTTTGTTACCAGAATAAGAAAACAGTGTAAAGTATGTGAAGACATTTAGTTTAATATATTTTTAACATAAACAATTCAAAAAGCATGGAGTCTGTTCAGAAGTCAGAGAAGATGAGCGTTGAGGAGGTTAGGGCTCCTTGGTAGAACTGTGTTTATTTTCATTTGGGTTCCTGTCATTTGGGTTTCGTAGGGAAAGCTATGTCACGGGCTGAAGGCTGTCTTGGGCCAATCAAATTCTGAGCATAGTTCTAAGATTGGACAGAGGTTAAATCATACATATAGGCCCTCATATATGTCTTATATGATCAAGTGCAAGACAGAATTAAGATCTTAGTTACACCAAGATTTAGCCACACAACAGCCTTTACTGTACTGCATTTAAGCAATTTGTCTATAACCGAAAGTTGGTTTGGGGGATAAATGCAGGCTTCAATTCCAGGTTTTGTATTTTTGCTGAAAACTCTCTACAAAGGCACTCAACAGCAGGTCTTACAAATATTTTCCCATAGCTTAACCGCTTCCCGGCAGGGAAAGTGCCAGTTTCTAAGTATCTGTGAGGGAGGAAATGTAATCCACGTACTTGTGTTCGAGACCGGTGTCGAAGCAGCACTTTTCCAGAGCGTCCAAAGACTTCATTAGAAGAAGGTTCATCTGCTGGCCAGATACATCACTGAGGAGCAGAGTGAAGAGCAGTGGGAGAAGGCAAATTATTCCAGATGCATCAACTGTCCCAAATACTCAATACAGGATATCTTGCCCTCAGCATTTCAGGCAAAATGCCACCACTCTGAAAAACCAGCACAAACAAAAAACAAACAATTCACAGTATTGGTGATGCACCTATGTTTGTTTTGTAAAGGAGGAAACCAAGTCAGAGATTCATTCAGTAATTTGGCTTCTGAACACTGTTGTCATTTGCTGACCCATAAATCCTCAGACTTCCAAGTTGGGCTCTTTCTGAGTCCCTTCAAACTTTAAATTACTGAAAAATGAAAACCAAAGTCAGCAGCCTACCCAAATAAGTACATGGAAGAAAGCAAAGTGGTTTTCCTTCAGAGCATCTCTAATCCAATAGGGTGAAAGTATCAATGATCTTCTCCAAACTCTTCCTTACAACTAGACTGTCATTTCTGTGTTCATGTCTGAATTTGGAAAATTGTAAGTTCTAATCCGTTACCTACACTAGGAAAGAAAGGCAGACTGGAAGAACCCCTACCCCGGCGGTTCTCTCCTTTGCTGCGGCGGTGGGTGTGCATCCTTGGGAAAGAACTAAGAGCCGGTGATAAAACTCAAGAGGCAGGTCCATGGCTGGGTTTTCAGGCACAGCTGTGGGCTTCATCACTGACACTCGATTACCCAGGGTCCCTGCATCTCAATGCTCAGGCTGCCGCAGCCCCTGCTAAGTGGAATGCAGCCCCAGGAATTCCAACCAGCCAGGGAGCTCTTTAAATAACTACCTTCCCAGATCAAGACTCCAGTGGTGGTTTCGCATGAGGGGGAGGATTATACAATGAGAGAAGTCGTTTTAATAGCTTTGCCAAAGGGAGTGCTGCTACACTTGTTGCCTGGAGTGAAGTATCCTTGAATATCCTAAAAAAACCGCTAAAGGGAGTTGACAAGTATCCTCTGGAGGTTATGAAAGAGGCTAGAATTGAAAGAATGCACTTTACTCAATACATTCTAGATTGGAATTTCAGTTAACAAGGTTTTTTTTCTTTTCCATAATGGTTAGCTTGTGCAGAAATAAATAGATAAATGGTTGGTAATTCTCTTCCTCAAAATGATTTTTCTCTCTTGGAGAACCAACATATTGGCCTAACCATGTTCCTCCAAGCAGCCATGTTGGGCCACTTATTTGATATCATTACGTTATTAGTCAGAGTCAAAAGCCCTCATAGCACTTATCTTGATTTTATAAAAATCTCATTATCTGGTGACATGGTTATCATCTGGCAAAATACTTAGCACCTAAACTCAAGTGCTCAGATTCCTCTGCTCTAAGATATTAGGAAGGTGCAAGACATGAATAATGACTTTAGTGGCTGCAGTATTAATGAATACGGATAGACCAAATAACACACAAACAAAAGGATGGCCGTCACCAAACATGGGTGCACTGCTCTTATTGCTAGGTGACTCAAAGTCGCCCCATGTGACAGAGAACTGACCCATAAGGTTACTTGACTGACATTTTTATGGAAACAGATGGTCAGTTATTCTCCCATGGAGATGCTGGTAGGTTCCAACCACCAAGCTTTCTGTTAATGGCCGCGTCTAACAGTTACACTACCTGGGCTCCTTATGGGAAGGGTAGGCCCAAGTTACTGTTTATGATTATCGTAGGGGAAGTCAGATGCTCCCATCAAGATAAACAGCCTTGGAAACTCTGTAAAGGGTCCCTGTGAATCAGAGTTGACTCCGATGGCCACCACCACTGACTGCCATCAAGTCAGTTCTAATTCACAGTGACCCTACAGGATGGAGTAGAACTGTCCCTGTGGGTTTTCTAGATGGTAAATCTTTAAGGGAGTAGAAAACTTTACCTATCTTCAGTGAGTATCGGGTGGTTTTGAACTGCTGATCCTGTGGTTCTGTGGTTAGCAGGTCAACATGTAACCCACTACCCCACCTGCTGTTAGGTGCCATCGAGTCGGCTGCGACCCACAGAAACCCTATGTACAACAGCACAAAACACTGCACGGTTGTGCGCTATCCTCACAATTGTTCCCATGCCTGCTCCCATTGATGCCACCACTATGACAATTCAACTTGTCGAGAGTCTTCTTCTCTTAGGCCACCCTTCCACTTTACCAAACATGATGCCCTTCTCCAGGGACTGGCCCCTCCTGACAGTATGTCCAAAGTACGTACAATGAAGTCTTGACATCCTTCCCTCTAAGGAGCACGCTGGCCTTACTTCTTTCAACACAAACCCAGCTTGTCCTTTTAGCAACCCAGGGTTCTTTCACTCTTCTTCTCCAGCACCACCATTCATATGTACCCGTTCTTCTATGGGCTTCCATAGTCAGTGCTGATGTTCACATGCATAGGAGGCAGTGGAGAATACCATGGCTTGAGTCGGGTGCACCTTAGTCCTCAAAGTAACATCCTTGCTCTTCAACACTCTAAAGAGGTCTTATGCAGCAGTTTTACCTAATGCAACTGCCTAATGATCTCTCGACTGCTACTAGCCATGAGCATTGATTGTGGATCGATAAAGTAGTACAAAATCCTTAACTGCAACCTTTTCTCCATTGATCATGACGCTACCTACTGGTCTAGTTGTGAGGATTTTGGGCTTCTTTACATTGAGTTGTAATCCCTACTGAAGGCTACAATCCTTGACCATCAGCAAGTGCATGAAGTCCTTTTCTCTTTCAGGACTCAATGGCAGTGGGTATATTTAGCCACTTCTAGCCGGTGTCCTTCCCCAGGGTTTCCTGCAAGTGCGATAGAGAGATGGGGTGAAGGCAACCCAGGAGCCAGGTGAATCGTCACAGCTTTCTCCATGAGATATGATTCAATTAACCACACAGGCAAGTGTGTCAGCCTTAAAATCCTCTGCATCGTATCCTACTCTAACCAGACTAGAGTAAAATGAGTTGCCTGGAATTAAGCTCCCCTGCCTCATTTTCAGTCGCACAACATGCTGCTTGAAAAGACACCAAAGCAGGAGCAGAGACTGCCGTTGGCACAACCACAGAGAGTGGGGAAAAGAGTCGCCCTTGAGTTTCAACCCTTTAAAAACACTTGTGTTCTACCTCCTTACACAGTAGTTATGTGACAGTCAATTCACAGGCAAAATGCTTTGTTCAAGTTCAGAGACAGACCCCTGCTATGGAGTAATGCTCACGAAGGGAACTAAATAAGGAGTCTGGGCCCGGTTCCTGATGATCACCAGGACTAAGCTAAGGGACAGGCAGATGTTTCCAAAAGGCGAAACTGATCATCCGAAATGTCACATCTCCACGGGTCCATAACCATTCTCAGACAGGTTTCACGTATTGGTGTCCTTGCACAACTATGTAAATTACAGATGCAATCAGTGACTACTGATTTCAAACTAACAGCTAAGGATAGCGCGCTGTCAACCACTTTACCTTCATCACCACCGGTTCTGGCCTTGGGGCAGCTCCTTCCTGCCCACGGAGGAAGTGGAAGGGCATCAGCCTCACAACAGGATGCCACTTCCTGCCGTCTCATTCCAGCGCAGGAAGATGGAGCTCTACTGAAGTCAGTGGCATCCAAAATTCAGATTGTAACACATTCGGGCCAGCCTGGCTGTGTACAAATCTGTGTTCTGTTGTAACATCAACATTAACAAACCTGAACCACAAAAGTAGAGTAGATTCCTGCCCAAGACAACTTCCCCTTTAGTGGAATTTTCCACCTATGCCTCGGGTACTCCATTAGCTCTGTTCAAGGGTGAAATTAGCCATCCAAAAGCGAGCAATCAAGCTGAAGAAAGCACTCAGGATAATGTGCACAGATGAAGATTCCTTAAGGGTTATAAGTATGCAGCCAAGACACAGGATAAAAGCAGGACTTAAAACTCAGTACACGTAGTTCTCAGGTGACTCTGTGACTCCCCAAATCCCTCGAGCACAGAGGCCACCCCAATCCTTGCCTCCCCTTTCCAGCACTTTCGGTGGGGAACCACCCGTGACTGCATACTGTATGCCCCCAAACCACAGCTCGTATTTAGACTTCTCCTCAGACATGTGGCACAGGCGGTACCCAGGGCTTCATCTAAGGATGCAGCGCTTTTCAAACAATCAACCAATCACTTTGAATACATCAATGTCTGTAGGATGGTATTTTAGAAAGCCAATTCACCCACAAAGGAGAATAAAGCATCAGGCTGCTCATCACAGGAAGTTGAGCACCACACAGTCTCCGACACGGTGCCTGTATGTGTATGTTAGGCACGTAGAATCTGTCCTCGAAATTTCCAAAAGGCAAAGCAAAACCACGTTAATAAACACGCCGTACCTGAGTTTCTCTTCACACAGACGCGAGAGAAACATCCCCAAAGCCAGGCCCATGTGGATCTGCACGGCTTGGGGCTCGTCCGCGCTTGGTTTCCCAGGTAACCTGGCAGTCAGCGTGTTCAGGATTTCCTCGACCTTCTCTTTGCAGGAGGTAATGAAAACTGGCACGAGGAGAGACAAAGCCGTGGCGGCGGCGGAACGGGCAATGGCACTAGCGGTGTGTTCTCCGGAGTAGGATTTCTAGGGCAGGCCACAGAAGGAAGAAGGGGGGGAGGGGTTAGCCTTTTGTTTGAAACCTTGAAGGAAGCCTGCGTACCCCAAAAGCATCGCACACTACGAGTTGCTCTCAGACCCTCCCAGGCATAACCAAAGGGCAGCAATCTGTGTTCTCCTGGCGGGTAGATGTTTCTGCTCTGAGATAATGGGTACCAAACGACCACTTAACCGTCCAATTCAAAAGTCAGATTGTTAAGTGTCCTTCTTGTTCCAGGGTGCGGATTCCCTTATGAAGGCTCGGACAGTGTCTGTGGAAGATCCCGTGTGCAGCCGCCACGGCTTGCGCCAGTCATCAAGCCATATGATAAATACGATTCCAGGGAGCCAGGAGTTTACGGGAAAGAAAGAAAAATCACACTAATGATAAGAACATTAAAGTTTAGAAGTGAGGCCAGCGTGTAAGCTTAGTTGTAGGGATCAACTGGCAGATTTCCCAAATTTTTTGGTGGGAACGCTTCCCAGTAGATGGATTATTTCCTACGAGGGGTTAAGTCCTTTTAATTAAAAAGGAAGTTGAAATCCTAAAAGCTTCTGGTTACAAAGCAATAACTAGCTATTCAAAGTGAAATGGAGAACCTATACACTCCTTCCTATATGTAATTATGGGAAAAGAAATGAGTAACAGCCCTCATAAAAGGGCAGGGCAGTTGATTCCACAAGGACTCCCTCAGAGAGAACTCTAGCAGACAGGAGATGTGTTTGCACACCCGTCTCAATCAGAGATGAAAGACTGTGCATCATCCCACACTATCACTCACTTTAGATGTTCACACGCACCAAGATGGCCATGCTGTCCTTTGCAGTCACAGCACATTAAAAAGTGCTCTTAGTTCTATGCTCATCTGGTATTGTGGAGGTAAAATCGAACACATGCTATTACATTACCTGGGGTTAATACAGATTGGTGGTACTGACACTGGAAATAAAGGAAGTGCCTTTTGAAGTTGGACTTTGAAAAGTATAATAATGCAAAACCCACAAAAGTAAGAGGCAGCCTTGAGCTGGCTTATTTGTATTGGTTCACAAGAACTAGGCAGCATTATTAGAAATCTACACTCTCCTGTCTTAGTGATTATCTGAACTACATAGCTGTTGCAAAAACTTCCACTCTAAGTTCCTAAGCAGGGTTTTTCATCCATCATTAAACATAAGAACATTTCTTACAAAAATTAAATTGTCATAAAGAAATTACTTCTTCATGGGGCAGCAGGGAAGGAAGGAAAAAAATTAAAAATGAGGAGCTGATTCCAAGAGCCCAAGCGAAAAGCAAATGTTTTGAGAATGATGAGGGCAACGAATGTAGAAGTGTGCTTTACACAACTGACGTATGTATGGATTGTGATAAGAGTTGTATGAGCCCCAATAAAATGATTTTTTTAAAAAGAAAAGAAATTACTTCTTGGAGAAAAATCTACTTTCCAGTTTAGTTTTGAGTTGTCTGGTAAGTGATTTTCTTGTCCTGAGGGTGATTAAGAATCTAGCTCCAGACCTTGTGGTGCCCCACCCCCTACCCCGACCCAGGTCCTCCAAGGGCAGGGCAGAGGCACGCCCACACCACTGCTGTAAAGAGAAGACCTAAAGCCATGGGGTTTCAGGCAAACCTCATGACCTTAGCAACAGTTCCGGATCGGTGCTAGAGTTTTGTCCAAATCAAGGATAATCCTCTGCCACTCAGCTGATGGCCCCATGGTCACTATGATCCCCTAGGAATTGGCTAGTGATCGGATGAAAATGAAAATAACACATGCAGATACAAAATTCACACAGGCGTGGGCACCAAGAAAGGGCAATTGAGACCTCGTTTTAAAAAGTGTGCTTTCATTTTGCTCCCAATCATTGACAGAAGCAAGAACATAGACTATGATTAAGTGGTGCTCTATCACCAACAATCTTACTTTATATTTATAAAGGAGCTCACGGAGTTCAAAACATTTTCACACAAATTCAACAATGAGATGCTCAAACTCTATTATTATGCTGGCAAGGCATACACGGTTACCTCCATTATATAGGTTACAAAGGCAGGGTGGGGTGGAGGAGAGGGATTCAGTATCAAGTCAATAGCCACAAGACGAAAAAGTGGTCAAAAGCTAGGGCTACCATCGCTACAGATAATATACCCATTAAATCCCATCATCTTATAAATAAGAAAACAGAGATCTAGAGAGAGTGAATGAATGGCCCATCGTCACATAGTTCCCAATGATAAAACTAAGACTAGAGACTGGGGCCTCCACTCCCAGCCAATGTCCCTTCATCCTACCACACCTGTAGCTCTGTGACTAAACATTAGAATAACCTGCAGATCTTTCAAAATGCGGATGCCCTGGGCTCAATTCCAACCTGTTAAGTTGGGAGAGGCCTCACCGAGGTATTACTTTACACACACACACACACACACACACACACACACACACACACACACGAAAGTTCCCCAGATGAGTCATATGTGCAGCAGGCTGATGAAAATCATTTTTCACCGCATGGGATTTCATGTTCACAATTGAAAGGAAAGGAGCTAACCCTTGAGTTTTCTCAGCCTTTCTCAGCGCTCTGACTTACATAATAAAACGAGGTGAAGAGCTGTCCTCTGGGTTGGTAATGACTATCCACGATGACCAGGAGGGTGTCAAGCACCATGGAAACCCACTCTTTCAATGGAAGGAAATTAGGGTGAATCTGCAGGTGAAGAAAAACATGAAACAGTAATGGAAAGGCAAAAACTATGCCTACACACTATGTGCACAGCCCTCTTCTGCATTAAATGATGAAGAGCTTTTAAAAAGTAAAAATTTGCATGTTAGGAATGCATGAGTTAAATGGTTATTTGACAGATACATGCCATTATCTGTGTCCCATTCTGGATAAGATCACTCTCTTATGCAAGTCGTAGCAGAGGTCTGAAAGTGGGGCCTTCCGACCACATCCAAGAGCCCCTGGCGCTCCCGTGAGCTCCCAGAAGGATAGCATGGGCAAAGTGAAGGTTTCAGGGAGAGAGCTGTGCAGAGAGAGCCATTCAGATCTTCTGAATCCTATGACTTGGTGTTCCACAAGGGAAGCAATAAAACAGCCAAAAGATTTTGATCACATCTCTAGCATTTCGGCTTACCACTATCAGATAGTCATCATTCAAGAATCACGAAAATGTTTGCCTAGCTACTTGGAAAATCAGGTATGGAAATACAAGTGCTCTGAAAGGAGAGGAAAAAGAAGGGAGAGGCAAAACAACAACAAAGCCCCACACATTACAAGTAGAATGTGGTTTAAGATCGCGTTCATGATCATGGATGGCATTTGTTCATTCACATGGTAAAGCTCAGCGGGTGTGAACTGAAAAAAGGCACATGCAGTGTCCAGTCTTGGGATCAATTCTTTGAATCAAAGAAGACCTTCTTCTTAAGATCTTTTGTTGTTGGTCCCATGTGGATTCGAATGAAGTTTGAAAACTTAACCTCTAACTGGTGAGACTCCCCAAACTATGGCCCTTCCCCATTGAGGTCTGGAAACTCACCTCCATCTCAGAAGGGTCAACCATTTAAAACCAACAGGGTAGACTTTACCCAAAGACAAAGCTCCAGGGTTGGGACTGGCGGAGGGTGGGATAAGGAAACATAGAGAGATAGTAAGATGAGTGAGGGTACGTTGAGGGGCTGGGAAGGATGAGTTGAATGTCAGAATGTCACTCAACTGTGGAATGTAAAACTAGGATGTACTTTGTAAACCTTTACCTAATCCACAATAAAAAGGTTTAAAAAGAAAGTGTCCAGTTTAATAAAATGATCAGGTCTCTGTAGTTTGTACTGAGTGACAGACAAGGGCAACGTTATTAAGAATAAAAGTCAAGACCCCTCTTTGGGCTTCCCTGGGTATCTGGTCCTGTGTGTGGCGGCACTGAACAAGAGGAGGGGAAGCGAAGAGCAGGAAAGCCCGAGCTTCACCATGCTGGATAAGGCCCCAGTGATGACTGAGGCCAAACAACTTGCACTACTGGTGAATCAGTTGTGGTTGAGTCAATTCTATATTCGTAGCCTTCATGCAATCATCCCTTGGCCTCCTCCTCCTTCCTATGTGGAACAGACACTTGTGATTTTGCTATCCAACACCTGTTTTCTTATTGCTGGTAATGGTACCCTTGGGGGAATTCCCTCTCCTCCACTATTTGAGGGTTGGCTAACTCAACAGTCAAACTACTTGCCAAGGTAGGGCACAGGACCTTTGGGGGCCAGTGATGTGTGAGCAATGCAAGAGCAGTCAAGGATTTGAGAAAACCTATCCCAGTGGGGGTGGTCTGCACCTATTGCTGGGATTTCCCAAGTAGCCTTGCTTCCTATATTTTCCTAAAACCTAGATTTTAATCCTTGCCTTTAATTCCAAGAGCTTTCGGATTTCATATTTCCCCAGGTCCACTTTAATTTAAATGAGTCAGAGTGAGGTTTTTGCTTGTTTGTTTGCTTGTTTTTGTTTTGTTTTTTAATTTTGCTTGCAACCAAAATGCCCCAGAGGGGTAAAGACTAAGGTGACCAGATGTCCCGCTTTTGGCGGGACAGTCCCAATTTTTAACAGTATTTTTCCCACATCCTGTGGCGCTTTAAAAAAGTCACGATTTTTGGAAAGAATGCATGACAAACTAGGGTATATGGTTTTCGGCTGCCATGTGGCTATTTTGCCAGGATATGAGTTTTATCAATGGTGTCCTGCTTTACCAATGTTAAAATCTGGTCACCTAGTAAAGACATAAGTCTGGATGGCCCAAAAAATACTATGAGAAAAGAGACCAGCTGAATCATACTGACTCAAGTCTCACTTTTTGCTACAAAGGTAGCAAACCCCCAAATTAGGGCTCAAACTTGGCTTGAGAGGGCAGCCTATGATTGTATTTTTAAATAACCGCCAATCGTGTTTTATGTGATTTTCCTTCTTTCTTCCTGTTTTGTAGGCAGAGAAGCAGATATTCTTTAAGGAGCCAGCACAAACCTGTCTTTGAGACAGTTTGCAATACAGTAATTTAACAGCACAATGTAGCTGTCGCTGCTGCCCTTTGTTGTGTGTTGAACATCTATCAGCCGTTGTCTTAAGGCCCTTACATTTAATCCTCACAATAACGCGGCTTGGATCTTAACCCCCACTTTACAGATGAGAAGACACATTTTAAAAGGGAAAGGTTAAAAGTCACAGGCCACAGAGTGAGCGCACTCGGGCTTAAATACGGGACTCTTCTACAAAGTCTCCTTTTTTTAACCACTTAACTATATTGTCTCCAGATAATGATAGCTACCAGATAATGGGATTTAAAGTAAGGATAAATCCTTGCCTTTTTTATTTTGACAGATATGAATTATCTGGAAAAATACATTGGAAATGAGCATTGGCCATCTTGCCACATGTTTAATTAAGAAATAAATGCCTTGCAAAAATGAATAGGCACTTTGTCATTGACATCTACAATTAAAATGCAAAGTACAATTTTTTTCAGTCAGTAAACACTGCTTATTTATCATTTTTTGACAGCATTGTTCACTTTCTGTAAGCCTAGTTAACCTCCTAAGATTGGTTACCACTGATGTAATCACAAAAAGACAAGCCCTGTTGCATAAAATTGGCACCTTCAAATGGAAATGACCAGTTAACTGTGATGGAGAAAGCAAAACAGAAATGCAGCATGGGAAGCCAAGTAGACATTATCAGCTCACAACATAAAGGCCCATCAAGTAGCATAGCCTGGTGCTGTAAGGACAGAATTGAACCTCGCAAGGCCAAGGCCAGGCCACCTATAGCTGGGCAGAGACATTTCTCACTTTCCAAATGTTACACAACCGAAGCCTGATGGACTCAAGTCACCCTGAACTCACCTCCGGGGCCCCCTCAGCATCCGAGGAGAGGCTGGCTTGGTGTTTGGACACAATGACAGCGAGGCTGCTTAAGGCCAACAGCGCGTTCCCTTTGACCACGGGGCTGTCCCTGTTTAAAAAGAAAAAAAAAAAAATGCCAAGATGGGACTTTGGGCATTCAAGAGGAGTAGAGAAGGGACTGGTAGAGGGAGGGTAGAGGGGGCCACAGAGGCACTTCCGTTCCTGCGGGGAGCCTTACACACAGGGGTCTGGTTTTGCTTCTTGGCCTCTTCTGACACTTACCGCTGATTTTTAACTCTCCTTCGATGTATAGTCATGACACCTTTTTGTATGTTGGAAACTCAAGCTCACGTTCTAAGTTCTTTCTTCTGAAATGTTTGTCCATCATTTGACATTACATTTCCTCAGCTATCTCCTTCTGTGCCACGTTGGCCAATGGGAATGTTCTGAGAACACAACCATGGATAGTTGTGTGGATAAACCCACCTGACATGAAACGCCTTGGGCCTTTCGGAAGCCCTGGGCTGTGGAAGCACCTCAGATAGCATCCTTGACTTGCCACTTGCCACACTGGCAGCTTTCCTCAGCCTTCCTTCTCCTCCTCCCCTTCTTTCCCCGAATGCACTCATGCCAGCACCAACAACCTCAACGGCCGCTTGTCATTCAATCTGGAGATCTTACATCAGATGCGGGAAAAGCCTAATTTTAGACTTTTGGGGATGAAATGTTTCCCTTTTATATCATTCAACTGGAAGTTTCCTAATATTAGCAATACTGTCTATCTGACATCTGCATTTAGTGTCAGGAAAACCAGAGCTTTTTAAATCATTCGCCACTTGAAAATATACATTTAGTATTGCTCCTTAAATCCAAACTAATCCTATAGAAAAACATCCCAAGTGGGACACAAATGAGAGGTTCCTGACTTACCAATTCTATCATAGCAGTATCTGGGTCAAAGTTCAACTCTCAGTCCTGAAACTGTGACCTTCCTAAATCCTAAGAATGTTCTGGAGCACCTGGGCCTGAATTCAGAGCAAACACCCAAGAACCACTCCCTGAGGCTCCCAGTGCAGATACGTGGGATGAAGAAGTCTATCAGCTCTCCCGGCCAGCCAGGCGATGGTCACACGTGCACATGTGAGTGTTCTTACATATTTGCTGCCATTGGTAAGAACTGGACTCAGGAACCCTGCTTAGAGCTATCCATCTATCTATCCTTGCTTCCTGTCCCCTCCCTTCACACTGTCCTTGTAGGCAGTCAAGTTCAGTGAAGTTGCTCACCCCTCCTCAGCTTCATTTCTCTAAGAATCCAGCCACCAGCTGAGAAAACCAATAAACCAAACTCACTGCCAGCAAGTCGACTCTGACTCACACGGACCCTATAGGACAAGGTGGAACTGCCTCTGTGGGTTTCTGAGACTGTAACCTCTTCTGGGAATAGAAAGCCTCCTCTTTCTCCCAAGGAGCGCTGATAGTGGCTCACTGTTGACCTTGCTGTGAGCAGCTCATGTGTAACCCACTACACCATCAGGACCGCTCTTAAGTTGGTAAGACATCAAAACACACACACACACACACACACACACACACACACACACACACACGTAAACACACGGCTTTTCCTGGCCTGATGCCAACAGCCTCTTTCCTTCTTCGAACACCAGTGTTAAAGAACATGGAGAAGAGACCTTAAAGTTTTAGCAGATGGTCCCAACCTGGTTTTTCTAGAGTTCTTCAGTGAGAATTGTTGAGCACTCATATAGCTAATATTAAAACGCTGGGAAATAAGGTAGCATTTGGGCATTCCTGTGATCCCTGGTCACTCATCATTTAATGAAAACAAAACTAAGTCTTTAACTGAGAATATCTTTTTCCCTCCTACAAAAGGGCCATAATTCTGAAGGTCTGATTAAAAAAAACCTAAACAAAACAGGCTTCACATTTTCGGCAATCTGAGAATTAAGTCTCCATTTTCATCATCCTAAAGAGCAATACTAACATGGCCACAAACAAACCTCTATCAAATCGTGTAAGAAAAGTAGACCGGAGGCGTTAAAAAGTATCTTTTTAATCTTAAACTTCTGTAAGAAAAGGTACTCCTAATTTTAAAACAGTACCTAAAATGCTTTTCCTTCCAAAGTTTCACTGGGCAGGCCATCTCTGAGCGTGTGCTGTTCTTGTCAAATAGAGAAAAGTGTACTTAGATCTACTCTGAATGAGACTGTAGGCATTAAACACTGACTAGAATAAATTAGTCTACAGCCCACACAATGCCTGTCTGAGCCATTTCATGAAGGTGCTGCCACTGGGCCTTGCTCGTAATGCTCATATCCTTATACGCGGCGCACAACGTCTTCGGAAGAGAAGACATTCAGAACTTCCGCAGTGAAGCAAAGTCAAGGAGCAGCTGCCCAAAAATGACCACCAGTTCTGCAAAATCTCATCACCTGGCCGATCAAAGAACTGTCCCCTCCTAGTCACACAATAGTGACTAATTTGCAAAATAACAAGTCAGCATCAGTACAGTATTTATCGAGGCAACACCACTGACATTTTAATTAAGCTGTCCTCTGAAAGTGATATCATTAACCTAATTAAAATGCACCAGGAAGGATGAGCTACAATGATGCTTTCTGGGGGACAAAGTATTAGGTTAGGTATGTTAGATATTAGTAAAGTAACCCAACCCTTTGGGGACTCTTATGCTCAGGGTCAAATGTGGTTAATTAATTAACTAGGTAAAGATATTTACATCAATCATTAAGTTTTATCTGTGCTCTGATTCTTCCTTACTTCTATCCCTGATGTTGTAAAATACACTCCATGAGGAATCCCATCTAAGCTTGTGACTGCTATCTTATTGCATTAACTTATGACTGAGCAAACAAACCCTATTATAACCTGTAAGGTCCTAATAAGCTCTTGGTAGCCATGGTCCAAGGAACTGAGAATCAAGCTAGCAGTAGGCGGTGGTGAGGTCACTACATGGTGGGAGGCAGCCAGTGGGAAGACGGAAACGAGGAGGTACACAGTGGTCCCCGCTGCTCTGCCGTCAAGCTCTCAGTCCCTGGACCTTAAACATTTCCTAGTCATTTGTTGTCATGCCGAGTATCATCAAGATCATTTTAACAAGATAAGGTCTGTAAAATGCTTGGGAATTTTTATGCAAAGGTAACACCAGGAGAACATCAATTATTTTTACTCTGTTCCACTGAGAAGGTGACCACACTCTCCTTCGGCTTCAGTCATGAAGTGATGCTTTGCACACTGGATGATTAAAGCCTAGTTGAAATGAGAGCTTGGAATGGAAAAGGAAATACTACTGGAGAGGCGAACTTATCGTTTGATTTAAGAGAAAGTTGCTGGTTTCTTCAGCATGTGAGGCCTTGTTGCAAATGTCAGAGGGCACCGTTTTAACAGGATATAAGTAGACTACATACTAGAACAAATTCTGAAAGGTAAAGATCAAAGACAGCCTCCCCCCCCCTCCAACCCTCCCCCCTCCAACATGCAGCTGAATGCTCAGCCACTGTCTGCAATTCACCAAACTGGATAAGCAGGCACAAATGAATCCCTATCCCAGCCACTCTGTATTTTAGTTTTCATTTTGTCAACAGACCTATTTCCCAGCGCCTCCTACCGCAGTGAGTGCTGGAGGATTACCGGTTCTATTTCCCTTTATGGAGAAGTCGTGAGGCTTCGAGGTGATCATGTAATAAGATCAGACTTGATAGTTGGATGCCTGCTAAAAAAATTACTGGTCGAAAGCTACCTCTAGTGCTGACCATATTTTGTTTTTGTTTTTTGCTTTTGTATTATAAGGCATAGACCTATTTAATTATAGGCATTTCTGTTACAGACAGAATGGTAGGGATTGACTATATTCCGTAAAATATTTCTAGATGATAAGGACTTTATCAATACATATGAAATCCTCTAGGGCAAAGGCTAAGAAAAAGGAAGCCACACAGAAGTGTCAGCAGCTAAAGATGATGTTGACAGGGCGCTGTGTACGTAAACTGACATGAAACTTACTGCTAGGGCAATTCATCAGCTTGCTAACAAAAGAGCCCAAAGAGATTGCTTGAGTAGCTTCATTAGGGTATCATTTTCTTAGTGAATATTGGGTTAAGGTATACAAAAGTCCCCAAAGCAGTAAATTTTGTTAAAACAAGCATAAGGGGATAACTGAAATGGTTTTCATTTTTTCCCCCCACTTAAATCAGGTCTTTACAATAGATTTATGCAGGTTAAAAGTCAGTGTTTAGGTATACAAGACACAGGAACATAAAGGAATGAAAGAAAAGTTCTCTTATTTATTTGCTGGTAGACAGCTGAGATTTCATCATCTATCTGTAGAATTCACATTTCCAAGGATTTCTCACCTGCCCTGAACTAAATTACAACTCCTTTAAAATCTAAGCACCTGGCGTTTGGTTAGTTTTACAATAAGGACTCAAGTCCAGCAACTAGCTGCGTAAAAATTACATGTTTATACTGGTCTCTTTGCCTTTTCACCCAACAGTGTATAATAAAAATGAACTTAACAGGGAAAAAGGTAAAAACGGATTTTCTGAAAGGTAACTGAAAGGCACTTTAAACTCTTTGAAGTTATGAAATGCCCTAAGAGGAGAAATAGTAAGTACTTTCCAGTTTTGTTTTGTTTTTTAAAAAAAGGTTTATAGAAAAGACTCTTACTTCACAGCTGCCTTGGTGATCTCATCGGTCAGCATGTCTCTGACCCTGCAAAGAAGGTGGGAAGTAGGTGTTAGAGTTTATTATGGCAAACATGCAGTCAACTGGCTTATTCATCAATAACTAGGAACACCAGACCCAAGCAATTGATGCCAGATCTTCAATCTCCATTAGCAGAATTTTAGTGTCAGGTAGAAAAGAGCTTTCCGTTTCAGGGCTTTACTTCTGAGAGGCCTTGGTTGCCCTATGCTGAAGTTCAGGGGAGGAGGTCAGGCAGGGCTGTATCTGTGCCACCTCTTTACACGGAGTGCCTGTCCTTTAGATCGTTCCTGGCTGGTTTTCCACCTGATCTCACTAAAACATCACTCCACTGTTTCACAACTGCCACTCTGGAATAGTCTCTATATGTACACAGAAAACTAGTAACATTTGGTTGCACAATCACATCGAAGCTAAAAGAAAACTGCATTTGTGGCTTTGAAGGGAGGCACCCAACAATTCAAATAGTCACAGATTTATCTTTTCTTTCTTTCAATATGGGAACCTTGAGATAAAGTGAAAAGCCAGGCCGGGCTAACCGCTGGGTGCCATTGAACCAGTCCTGCAACACAGCAACCCTGCCTACCATAGAGTGCAAGCAGGCTGCCTGGTCCTGTGCCACCTTCGCAGGTGAGCCCACTGCTGCAGCACTGTGTCAGTCTAGGTGGCTCAGGGTTCTTCACTTTCACTCGCCATCTACTTTACCAGGTGTGAAGTCCTTCTCCAGTGGCTAGCCCTCCAGGATGCATGAGACAAAGTCTCAGCATCTTTGATGGCTCCAGTCAGGTGCACCTCAGTCTGCAAGGTGACCCCTCTCTACTTTCAAATTCTAAAGAAGGCTTTTGCAGGAGATTTGCCCAATGCAATACAGCGTTTGATTTCTTGGCTGCTGCTTCTAGGAGTGTTGATTGTGGATGCAAGTAAAATGAAATCTTTGACTTTAATCTTTTCTCCATTTAATCTGACATTGCTTTTTTGGCCTCCAAATTATACCGATTTTCCCCTTTACATTGAGGTATAATCTATATTGAAGGATATGTGATTATCAGTGTTTCAAGTCCTCTTCGCTGTCAACAAGGTCATGCTATCTGCCTATCAAAGTTTGTTTATGAGCTTTCCTCCAATCCTGACGAAGCATTCTCCTGATTACAAATGATCTCTGACTATCTGCTCAACATACACACTGCATGTAAATATGGTGAAAGAATACAACTCTGACACACACCTTTCCTGGTTTTCAACCATTCAGTATGTCCTTATTCTGTTTAACTGGCTGGTTCTTCACCTATGTACAAGTTCCACATGAACACAATTAAGAGTTATGAAATTCTCATTCTTTTTTTTTTTATATTGGGGGGAGTAGAAAAGCCATCAGCCCCTATAGTGGGCACTATTCAGTGCCAGCTTCTTGTTCAATGGGGTTAAAGAAGACTTTGAGGAAATAAAAGTTGTTTGGAAAACTCTGGGTGTAGTTGCTTTGTGTGTTGTGATGGGTGGAAGGGATGGAGTTAAGGGTGAGGGCGGGACCTCACACACTGCATCTTGCCTCAGACTATGTCCTGGAACCCTGGGGCTGAGAAAGCCACTCTCATTCCTGCTTCTTGGGATTGTTGACGACCATGCAGTGGTAGAGAACGATAAGCAAGAAGAGCGACCCCCCCAGCATGTTGGCAAAGATGGTGGGCTGCATGTCCGTGAGCATCCTGATTAGCCGGCTTGGCTCTGATGCTCTAAGCGCACAACTTCGAAATTCTCAATCTTTACACTGCAATCCATAGTTTGTCCTGATTCACACAGTCCATTGCCTTTTAATAAAACACAGGTAAACATCTTTCCAGTATTTTCTGCTTTCGCCCAAGATCTATCTAACATCAGCAGTGATATACCTCATTCCACCCTCTCTTGAAGTTTCAGCAGTTCCCCGTACTGTTGCAACCACTTTTTAATTAACTTCAGCAAGATTTGACTCGTGTATGATAATGACACTGTTCAGTAATTTCTGTATTTTGTCGGACCACCTTTCTCTCAAGGAAGAGCCAAAAATATGGATCTATTCCAGAAGAGATTGTACCTCAACATAAAGAAAACAAAACTCCTTAGTGCTAGACCAATAAACAACATGACGATAATGGAGAAAAGATGGAAGTTGTCAGGGGGTTCATTTTACTTGGATCCACAATCAACACGCACGGAAGCAGCAGTCAAGAAATCAGACGATGTGCTACAGTGGGCACATCTGATGTAAAAGACCTGTTTAATGTATTAAAAATCAAAGTATTAAAAATCACAGCTGCCCAGAACGACCGACAAACATCCCAGAAGATGGCACAGCCAGAACGCTCCTCAAAAGCAAAGATGGCAAGAGTTTGTGCCTCATACACTTTGGGAACGTTTTCAGGAGGGATGACCCCCTGGTCAAGGCCATCGTGCTTGGAGAGAAGCAGCGGGACAGTAGAAGACTCTCCATGAGACACATCTATAATGAGCTGAGACCTCGCAAGAATGGTGCCGCTTTGAGCAGTGCTTCATTCTGTGGCACATGTAACAGCCATGAGTTGGAAGTGACCCACTGACACATCATCACAACAACCTTAAATCTGGGGCCATCATGCCATCAACCCTATTTCTGGAGTCTTCTTGTCCTTTTGTTTGCTTGGACTCTGGCCCATGACACTTAAAATACAATTAATTAAAAACATACATACACATACAAACACGTCCCTTGGCATTTCTACCTATGCCAACACTCAGTAAATCCAAAGCAATACGAAAAATAAAAGCGGTAACCTTTGCACAAGTTTTTAGATTAAAGCAATTTGTGGTTGTCAGCAAAGCTATTTAGATTCTGGGCACTTCCCTCACATTTAGGATGCTGTAACATGAATCTAACAAGGTATTCATCTCAAACCATGTAACGATTTGAATTGCTTTTAATGTGCCAAGCACTTACACATTGCTCGATAATATAGTAAGAATTCACTAGAGAGTGTCTGCCAAAGGAATTACGCTCTGACATGGTAAAGTTGCTACCAATTGTAAGAATGTCTTAGAAAGGGATGGGAGGGGGATTCCTTGACAAAATGTGAGTGAAGAAGGCAATGGATAGAAAGAGAGAAATAGAACTTTTCATCGAAAAGCATATAAAATAGTAAAGTATGGGAGGAGCGGGGGGAAATCCTTTCCTTATCTCATCTACATTGCTTTAGATAAAGATTTTAAAAAAAAAGAATACAGACGCTTATGCATAAATCTCTCCTTACAATTTTTATTGAAAGAGCGAGGGAAAAACACACCTATGCGATTGCCTTTTCTTCATCAGCTGCAAATGTGGAGACTTTAACCCAGCCCCTCCCTTGCCCTCCCTCGTGGGCTTCCTTGGGAAGGTCATGAGCAGCGGGAGGCCGCACCCTTACCAGAGCCAGGCTGTGCTTCTCTTGTACTGCACCTCCTCTGGTCCTTCTTTCCCGTGTTTTAACTGCAACTCCAGCTCTGCTATCCTGCCCTGAAAAACAGAGCGTAAGTCAGCGTGCCACCGCCCTGGACCTGAGATTCCCCCCAGATGTCCTGGAAAAACATTTAGATAACAGATGCATCCTTTCCCCACTGGTACGTTATGAAGGGGGATGTTTAAAAGGAGATCACCACATCACTGTTCAGGTACTTCAACATTCACTGAAGAAGATGGTGCTGGAGAAGGCGCACACTCAGCAAATCCAGGGTAGAGGGCTTCATCAAGCCTATCTACTCAAATCAAGTTGCAGGATCACACGCCCCATTAAAAAAAAAAAATCCCTAGTGGTTGTGATCTGGTTGCGCCAGGTTACTTTCTCTCTAGCAGAGTTCTCCGGACTTCGTGCCCGCATTTGGAATCGTCAAGCCTTTTGACTGGTGGGTATGAAAGGTTATCTTAACTGCATTTTAAATTTCAAATCACTGTGTACTAGTGAGATTGAGCATTGTGTCACACATTTGCTGATGGCCTGAATTAACCTATTCTTTCCATTTTCTATGATCTTTGCCTAATCCTAGAGTTCTAGGGTGCTTTCTATGGAAGAGATTCTGGTTCACAGTGATTCCATGTACAACGGAATGGACGGTGCCTGGTCCTGCTCCACCCTTACCATGGCTCCTCTGGTTAAGGCCACTATTGAAGCCACTGTGTCAATTGTTTTGTTTAGGGTCTTCCTTTTTTTCCCCCCACAGACCCTCTCCTTTCCAAGCATGATATTCTTCTCTAGGAACTGCTGCCTTCGGATAGCATGTCCCAAATACATGAGATGGAGGTTCTCTATCCTCACTTCTGAGGGATATTCTGGCTGGACTTTGTCCCAGACAGGTGTTTGTTCTGGCACGTTCCTGATGTATGTACTTAATATTCTTCAGCAACACTATAATTCACAGGCATCCCTTCTACTCTGGTCCACCTTATTCACTGTCCAGCTATGGCATGCGCATGAAGTGAATAAAAATACCACGGCTAGGGTCAGGTCCACCTTAGTCATCAAAGTGAAATATTTTGCTTTTCAGAAAACAAAACAAAAACACTTTAAAGAGGTCTTTTGCAGTAGTTTTTCCAGTGTCTTTCCCAATGTCTTTTGCAGTAGGTTTTCTCAATGCTTGTGAATCTAAGTAAAATGAAATCCGTGATTTCCTCAGTTTAGCATGACATTCCTTATTGCCCCCCAAATGATACAGATTTTTACTTTCTTTATGTGGAGGTATAATCCACACTGAAAGCTAGTTTCTGATCTTCTTCAGTAAGTGCTTCAAGCCCTCTTCACTTTCAGCAATCAAAGGTTGTCCTTGGATCTAAGGTTGTTAGTCTTCCGTCAATCCTGATACTAAGTTCGTTTTTCTTATAGCTCAAGCTGTTGGATTTTTTGCTCACTCAACATACAGATTGGATAAGTGTGGTGAAAGGATACAACCCTGAGGTACAATTTTCTTCTTTTTGTACCACACAGCACCCCTACTTCTGTTTATATGGCTGCCTCTTATTCCAGGTATCGGTTCTGCATAAGCACAATGAATTGTTCTGGAATTCTCACTGTACTCAATGTTTTTATTCATAGTTTGCTACGATCTATAAAGTCAAATGCCTTTGCATACTTAATCAAACACAAGTAAACATATTTCTGGTATTTTCTAGTCTCAGTCAGTGCCGTCTAACAATAGCTACCATTATTAAGTCAATAACAAAAGCCCCATCACGTCTTATATAACATATTTTCACGACTATGTCTAGGCCCTTCTTGAACTTACCCAAAATGTAATAACCAAGGGTAGATATCTTTGTATTTCCCTCACATGCTCTGTGACTAGCCTATGAGTACAGACGGCAAGGGCTGTTTGATTAGCCCATGAGTCTAGCATGCCATGCTCTAGCTCATCAATCCAGTCATTCTGAGATTTGATGGGAACTCTATCCTTCATCGTTTCTGTTTATTTCAATCAGACCCATCCTTGTCTCCAGATTTTTTGAAGACCGAATCCTTACCCTTTCATTCTCCTGTTTCTTAATGCAAAATATTAAAGGTGATCAAACTGGCAAAATGTTGACATTGACATAATATTTAATACAGATATTGGCACCCCACGTGGGTAGACAAAGTAGGAAATACCTTTGATTGCCTTCAGTCCCCTCGTCTAGTCTGTCTCCTTACTCCTTCAGGCCCAGAGTCCACCATAGGCTAGTTATTCACACTCATTCTGCCTTCTTCCAAATCACAGCCCCTTGGTAAGAGAGAGCCAGTGGCTCTCAGCTCAGTCAATGTTGCTTCTGGGTAACAACTGTGATTAAATGAAGGACGTTCATTGGAGGAGGAATGGCTGGGAATGATGACCTGAACTGAGATTGTAGACTGCACATAGCTTCCAATTCTTTTCTATTTATCCTTACTACTTTATACCATGTCTAGTCTATAGAACCAAGAGCTTGTTGAGTATAGTAAGCAATTCCACCTAGCTCCACAACAAATGTTAAACTGTTTGTTTGTTTTTAAGAGAAAATTTAAAAAAAAAACACACAACAAAACATACAAATGGTCAGAGTAATTCCCTGTGGTCATGGTCCCTGACCTTGACTTTGACTCCAGGTTATCTTGCAGCCAGCTGACCAACTTGTGATCAAGTATCCGCTGCCAACCTGCTTTATCCCCCTCTTCGGTTGGAGATCATATTCATAATCCTGAGGGGCCCTTCATACAAAGTTTGGTAGCTTTACCCCTCCCTCAGCATCCCATGAGGGCAGTCAGGTAAAAAGGGTTACATTGAGCTCCAGTCCAAAATGTTCTCTGGACTGGCAATCCATTCACATCTGCATTTTTCGCCCTAATGCCTCTCCATGTCAACAACATGGAGAGGCTTAGAATCCAAGGTCTCACGTTTTTGTGAAACAGTGAGATAAGGCTAGCAGAACTCATTAGTCTGTTCAGATCGTAAAAGCATTTGCTTCATGACCAATCTCTAGGAAGTAATGGTTTGGGCTGCTGTTGACGTGTTTCTGGCTGAGGTGACTGAGGTGTACAAGAACTGCTGCACACAGTTCCCTCCAGGCCGTGGTCTTTCCGGAAACAGACCACCCGCTCTGTCTCACAAGGTGCCTCTGGTGGCCTTGAAGGGCCAACCTTCCGGTGAGTAGCTAAGAGCTGAATTGTTTGCACCCCCCAGGGACTGTAGGAATGTGGGACGTATTTATTAGCATGTCTCCATGACTTCACTGACTAATTTTTAAAAAGCAGGGGAGAGGGTCTCTAAGTAATCCTTTGCTGTTTACTGCTACAAATTATCGCCAGCACTACCTGGAAGAAATTATCATCCCCATAAAGAAGTTTCCTCTAATGTCGGGAAGACTGGATATACTGTATATACTCGTGTATAAGCCGAGTTTTTCAGCACATTTTTTATGCCGTTTTTGTGGTAAAATTAGGTACCTCGGCTGATATTTGGGTCGGCTTATACTCAAGAATATACAGTACATCGAGCCTGGCAATTGTTCCAGTTCCTCTAAAATATCATATGATCTGAGTGTGAACTCATGAAAGCATTTGTTTAATAGTCAAAATGTATATCAGTAACCTTTTAAAATATAAAATATAGCTTGAAATATATTGCTATTCTTTCAAATACTGCAATACTAAAAGTCTTCTTATTATAGTCTATCTTTTGGCTTCATTTTTTTTCACCAACTGTCAACAGAACTGGACTGATTCTTAGGAAACCGAAGAAAACAGATGTTAAATGATAACTAAACCAACCCAAAATACACCGCATCAGCTACAACAGTAGAAAGGCAGATTAATTGACTGGTCTTACTGAAAATACACAGCTGGCTTTTCATAAATAGGCCTGTCTTTAAAACAGTACACCCATCTACATTATTTATTATTACAACTAATGACACTGTGAGGGAAACTCCATGATGCAGTGGAAAAGGCTGAAGCTCTGTAGACAGACAAATCGGGGCGAAGCGCAAGCATCTTTCATCTACGGAGTGCTGGATTATGAGCCATTTGCTTTGCTTTCCCAGCTAGCCCTGCTTCCCCACCTATAATCTCATTATCCATGGGGTTAATAACATCCACTTCAAAGGGTTTCTGTAAAGATTAATTGAAATAATATGCACTAAGTATTGGGCACACAGTAGTTAGCCAATAAATGTTAGCTTATGAAAAACAATCATGAAGATTTTTTTTTTATCAATGGAGAGTCATCTATAAGAGTTATACCATAATCCTATTCAATTTAGTTTTTCTATGCTAAGAGCTAAATAAAATTCTCAGTTCTGCAGGAGGAAGAGCAATTCCTCCCCATTCTATCTGCACCATAACACTTGGTACGTCCACTATAAAGCTTCAAAGACACTGTACAAGAATTGCTAGAAGCCGTGTGAGTCTCCCCAACTGGGCTGATGAAGGAGCATTTCATTCTCCTTTGTCTCCTCCAAATCCAGCACAGGGCTTGGCCAGGGAAAAATGCTCCATAAATGTTTGCAGAAGGAAAACACTGAAAAAGTACTAAGGAAAATGCAGACTCTGCCTTGCAGGCTTTCTCTTCTTGAACAAAGACGGTAACTGGTGTGTATAATCACGTTAAAGAAACATGCAGAAGCATGAGTCAGTCACTCAGGCATCTATTCAACACACTCGGGGTGCCCAGAGGCTGCTGAGGCTAAAAATGGAGTGAGCTGAGCAAAAGGAAGCACTGGTTCCAAGAGAAGGTCTTTAAAATACAGATGCCGATGCAGTTTGGGAACCAAAATAAGAGTTGCCCCAAGCATGGCTGATGAACTAATTGCATTAAAATTACCTGGCAGTGGATCTGGAGGGTATAATGCTAAGTGAAACAAGTCAAGTGCATCAAGATAAATAGTGCATAATCCATCTTTCACAAAGAGGTCAATGCTCATTGGGAGCCTGATAGGGGTGGAGGTAGGAAAAACACGTTAGATGGTAGATACTTATTATTTTGGGTAATAAGAAAATGGCACCGGATATGGATATAGTGAGCACAGTATGACCAACATGAATGATGCCTCTGAGAAATTCTCGGGAGAACAGGGTTTTATACACAGAAGATAGCAATCAAAGGCCACAAATGAGCGCATGATCACACATGAATGGGTGAAGGCATATCAGTTTATTGACAGTTGTACATATATATAAAAGTTAGCTATATCTATATATAAATATAAATATGTGACAACAGGCACATATTCACTGAAGACACAACTACAGATCCTCGCCAGACATGAGCAAACAAGAGAATGGTCTTCTAGGTTTAAAAGGTTAGTCTCACAGGACAATTCAGCCAATAGAATTCATAAAGCGCATGTTCTGCACCCCAACAAAGTAAGTAGTATGGGGGGGGCGGGGGTTAAAAGCTGTGAGTAGCCATAGACAATGCAGCTCTTGGTTTCTGTCTCGCAAGTGCAAAACAGCAAGAAGACAACCAAAATCCGCACGAAGAAATAAGTCTACAAGGCTGCGCACCTCAAAGGTGGAGCATGAGCTCCTCTACCCTGAGACTGGAATTAGACAGTGCCTGGCTACTACCAGCCCATTTTGATAAGGGGCACGATAGATCACAATAGATTGGGGGGGGGGAATTTAGAACAAGAACAAACTCTTTTTTTTTTTAATGTAAAAGTCACACTATCTGTACCAATTGAGATTAGAGGGCTCCCTGAGGCAATTGCCCTGAGATAATCCTTAGCTATGAATCAAAACTGCCTCCTGAAATCACCTTTAACAAAATCGCAGAGTAGAATATAAAATAAAGAATGAGAATGGTGCTCTTTAAAAAAGCCCATCTGTATGAGACACCAAATGGTCAGCATTTACTCTAATGCAACGTTTAGGAAATCCCAGGGTAGAGACACTAGAGTACTGGGAATAGAACAACCAGAATGCAATGAAAGAGAATGCTGACACACATTGTAAAAAATGTAACTACTACCACTGAACAACCTGTGTGCAAATCACTAAATGAAACCTAATGTGCTGTGTAAACTTACACACCCACACAAAACCTTGTTAGCCATGCAGATTCTTAGTCCCCTACTCAGTTCTAATGAATCAGAACCTTTGAAGATGCTTATGTTACAGCAAGTTTTAATGTCATGGGAATGCCAATGTCCAGAAACTCAACTGCTCCCCCATGCCACACTCACCTGTCCTGCCGCCTTTAGTATCTCTATACCCATTTCACAGGAAAGCTGCTTTTTTTAATGCAACACTTCCCGAAACCCCAGAAAATCTTACTCTGGGTCATAAATTGCTTAAGTATCATCAGGTCCTCTCCCCTGGCCCCCACCTTAGCAATGAATTTTTGTCATCCTTAACGATGAATTTTAGGCTATGCAAAAGAGTTGAGCTAGATGTTTTCTCCTACTGTTAACTGTTCACATACTCCCAAACCACTTAAAATTATTAAACTATGAACTATAACTTACTGGAGTGAAAGAAGTCATAGTGAGACAATCTTGCCTATTTGGTGAGCATGTTACATTGTAGGCTCTCCATCAGATCCCAAAGAGACCACGGAGAAGACAGCACGGCTGATGCCCTTGAGGAACAGAGAGACCACCACAGGTCCCACCATAAGTGGGATCCAAGGTTCAAAAGGGAGGCCGGTGTAATGAGGTAGCACATGACGTGTGGGCAAGTGAGGTAAGGGGAAGAGTGGCTTTCCAGATTAACCCAAATAACAAAGAGAAATTGGATGGGCATCGACAACCATTATCCTTTTCCACCTTACTCCACCACCGTTAACATAAACACAATGGGTGAACTTGGGTTTCTTTTCTTTAGTAATTTTCTTGATATAATATTCACATATCATACACTTCTATGGCTACATGGCTTTTTAAGAGTTGTATATACATCATTACCATCAGTTCAAGTGCTTCCTTCCTGCTCCTGCATTCACTGTTTGTGTTCCAAACCCCTTCACCCTCCCCAGACCCCATCCTCTCTCCACATGCTCGATAAACCATTGTATCAGTTATTGTCTCTATGCATCTCCTCCTTCTGTATTTCACAAACTGGGAAACACAGCAGAAACAATAAGAAAAAAAACAAACAAGAAAAGGGCAAGAAGAAAATAATGATAATAAGATAAAAATATAAATTAAGCATAATAAAGAAAAGGCTACCATCAATATCTAAAAAGCCAGAGGAGAAATTTCTGCCCTGGAACAGGTGAGAAATATTCAGCCTAAAGCAAATTCAGGTTGGGTCAAGAGGGAGGCCAACAGACCAAGTATGATCTTATAGCATGGTTCGATCCACCATAATCATTTACAATAATCTCTGACAGTAAGGCTGTTTGAGTCCCTCGCCTGTAGCTCCGGGGGAGCTGAAGGAAGTTTCATGTGACTAGATACTTTGCAGATGGCTTTTGAGCTCTCACTGTCCCCCATAGCCTTCTACAAATTGTATCCACAATTTAAGCTCTGCTCTTTTTTCCTTTGTCATATTTGGATTTTGTTATTGTCACCTTTGGATCATACAAGCTGGTGTGCTTCTTCCATGTGGACTTAGTTGATGCTTCACTTAGATGGCTGCTTGTTTGAATACAAACCTTTAAGACCCCAGACACTATTCCAATTGATAGCTGGGCACCATTTGTTTTCTTCACACTTTGATGTATCACCCTGATCATTTCATGAAGGTGAGTGTGGCAGTTACATAATCTCCTGTCAACTTGCAAAGGGGTGGAGTCTAGTCTATCAATCAGGTCCCAGCTTGATGACCTCATTTGGAGGTGCATGGAGACAAATAGCTCACTGGAGGCCACATATACTCACACTCTCTGCTTTGTTTCCCTGTGAGACATTCCTGTTGACAAGCCACATGGAGCTACAATGATGGAACCAGAGCCCTGGAGCTGGAGGAGCCACGTGGAGACCCACGCTAGCACTGAGATGCTTCCACTGCCACTGGATCCACAAGACTTTCCCCCCACTGGCCTGTGATCTTCCTGCATTTGGCATCATTACATATGTTGCGTGAGTCTGGAGAGGAACTTATAAACTGGTTTCAGACATATGGGCGACATATGGACTAATATAAGACTTATGGACTTGATCTGGACTGGGTTGGGATGGTTTCTTAATATACAATACTCAATATAAAGCTCTTTCTGATATATATATGAGAGTCTCTGGATTTGTTTCACTAGTCAACCCTGACTAACACAGTGAGTATTGAACTGGGTCATATTATCAGAACTAACTGTTCTTGGATTGGGGCTAAAGTTAAGTGGGAATCCAGAATCCACCAGTTATGAATGACTCTGGTTTACTTATGACAGAAACAAAAACCCACAAACAAAAACAAAAAACAAAAGGCAGAAAAACAAAAACCAAAGAACCCCCCCCCAAAAAAACCCACATTGTCAATCATTCCCCTGGAGTGAGGTGCTTGCATTGAAAACATCAGTAATTTTCCCAATGACACAACACAGAATTTAAGAAACTGTTGATATGGGGAGTTTATGCAAATGTAGTCCAACTGCGAGCTGAAATACATGAGTCGTTGCTTTGTACAGATTGATTTGTACAGAATCAATCTTGATTGATTGAGTTCTGTTTACACTAAGCATGGGGACTGGTGCTAGAGGAATTTTCCTCTGTCAATTCTTACAAGTGCAGATCCTTGCCTAACAGATTAAAACCTGTAATATTAATTCAAGGGGAGCAATGAGGTATTAAATATATGGTGGTTCTGGGTCTCCTTTCATTGGGCATCCACTAAGCCAGGGGTCCCACCCACAGTCCAATGACCATCATTTCCACAGTCTTGGGGTGGCAACCCTTTGCTTCCTCTCCCATCAGAGTATGTCAGTCCTAAGTCCAATGGTATAGATATTTTTTTCCTTCAGTCAGGCTTCTATGTTAAGTTCTTCTGGTGTGGCCCTTGGGGAATGCTATGTTGTCTGTAAGGCCAGTGTCTAAGGTCACCATGGTGTTCAGTCCATGGTGTGGTTCACCGAGGGTTGGGTAGAAAGATATTTATAGTGTATACCCAGGAATCTACCCAGGCACATGTCATTGGGTTTACTGTCCCCTTATTTGGGCTCCCTACAATTGTTGTTTAGCAGCCCTTCCCGATGTGAGGTAGCTCTTCCCCATTTACCCACCATTAAACCGTAATGTCTTACACGATCTCCTTTTCTGGCCCATTTAAAAGTTGTTCAAGTTAGAAAGAAAGAAAGAAAAGTGAAGGGGAAATATACATGAATTAAGACTCTGATAACTCCTCTTTGTCCAAAGCACAGGGATGTGATATCTGGCAGAGTGCATTAGAAAGTGTATTATGACAGATGTAGTTAGGTTAAAATTTAACACTTTATCATGTGATCTCCCTTTTGACCCATTTTAAAGTTGTTCTAGATTAAAAGATTTTCCACTCTTTTTGATTTAGGTTTTTCTGCATTATTTTGTTATTGTTGTTAGGGGGTTTGGGGGGGGGGTATGTTTTCTATATATGAAATCCAGTACAAGTTTCTCAAGAGGCAGTCGCTGCATTAATGGTTTCTTTGTGGTATGGCAGGGGAGGTTGGGGGAAGTGGAGAGCTAATCACAATGAGTATAAGAAAGAAGAAAATGTATTAAAGTTGATTGTGGTGATGATTGTAGAACTCATCCTGATATGATTAAACTACTGAATTGTATGATATGTGGATTGTGTGCCAATAAAACTTAAAACAAAATACAAGGGATGATGATGAGCTGAGTTTGAAATGTGCTCAAGGTGCAAGGCGGGGGGACCTGCACGGGGAGGAGGCGAGTGGCCGTCTGGAGGCAGCTCTGGACTGGACACAGATTTCGGGGAGGTGTCCGTATGTAAATGTTATGTGCAACTAACTACAAGTTGGTCTCACACCATTATCTCTTTTGGTAAGGCTATTTTCCCATGTGCTTGGATACTAAAAGAAACACATGCATTAAATTAAGTTAAATCGCAACAAACCATCCCCTGGTTTCATTACCTGGAGGACGGCAGGATACGCTCGGCTCATATATGCAAGCCAGGCCTGCGGCAGAAACAGGGCGTGGTGCCACTCCAAGAGCTGAATGTGGACCTGTGGGAAAACGCACCAGGACGTCATTAGACCACGTGGCATTAAAACTCAGCCAAACGAAAACGCCTCCCCTCCCTTCTTCCTTTGGTTTAAGATTCAAAGGATCTGTTAGATCTTTCCAAAAGCAGAGAGTTTGAAGTCTTACAGAGTTAACAGAAAATAAGCCTGGCATTTTCTAAAGTCACGAAAAATAAAGCCCTGCAATCATAGCAAGCTAAATGCATGTGGCAGTACACATCTCTTCTTGAAGATCGGGGGCAACGCTGGAAAGCCTCTGGCCCACGTCCTAAAAGTAGGTATTGTCTCACAAACCCGCCTAGCAATTTGAAAGACAAATGAATACCGCTCCTAACTGCATTTCCAATCAGACGACTTCTCAAGTAATACACTTAAATTGCCAACAGGACCCTCCGGTCCTGTAGGGACACTCAGCGTGAGAGCATGCAAATGAGCACCCCGCCCAGGCGTGTCCTTTCATCCATGTGGGTAAACAGAAAAATGATACCGGCCCACACCGACGCCCTGTTTCTGAACCGAGGCCCGGACAAAACATCTGGTTTTCATAGTCATTTCAGTTTCTACCTATTAGTATATGGTTATCTTGCAACAAATCTTCCCAAGGTCGGCTTCAGTTAGAGAAAGAGCACTCAAGAAAAACAGTCACAGTGAATCATATTTCACATTTCCTGTAACTCAGCTCATCCAAATGCAAACAACTACAAACTTCAGCCTGTGGCCCACAGGCCAAAACAGACAAAAGTCAACATAATCGCACCAGAATAACGATAGCTAGAGTGTTTCAGGGAGTTTACTGTATTCTTAGAAGGAACTTTCTCAAGTGCCTTTGACAGGGGAGATAACAGCCTTTCTGGAAAGAATTGGTTCCCAGGGTCTCTGGAATTTTCTTTCATCCCAATCTTAACGTGACGCAAGGTACTGTGGGAGGGTACAGGTTTACCAAGGAGTACCTGTACAGAGCTTTCTAGATAGTGGGAGAAACAGGAATGGGCAAGCAGATTAGGAGGCAACTTATGATGTGATGGCAGAATTTATGGGGACAAAGTGAACTTGAACTGTTATCACCTCTGCATTAAAAAATGAAAACTGCTTCATTAAAAAAAAATCCCTGAAAACTAGATACTCAGTCTCATTTGACTATGGAATAAATGTGAAACTATTATAAAGACTGGTCCGTCTCTGTCTTTTTTTCTGATGACGTCCCCGCTCTGTTGGGTGGAAGGAAGGGACTTGAAACATGTCAAGGAAAATCCTTTCAGGAACAGCCCTCCAATGCTTTCTCCTCCTCTTCCTCAGAAAGCTGATTCGGCCTCGGCTGCATTCCAGTCAAAGAGGCATGCATCAGTCCCAGGCCCTGCAGTTTCCCAAACAGGCGCCTCTGCTGTCTCTCCTAGCAATGCCGTTCCCATCTCATGAAACACATGAACTAGTCTTAACCCCTTTTTGAGTCCTTGAATTAAACAGAATTTAACAGAAAATAATACTCAAATATCATAACCAAAGCTTTTCTTTTTATCTCTTACTTCAGGACTTCAAAATATTTTCCCATTTTCCTGCCAAGTAACATAGGGGCTTCACTGCACTGCTGAGAACACCCAGAGCCTCGGCACTGGCCAAAAAAAGCAAAACAAAACGCCACACTGGATGCTTTTGAGAAGACAATGGTTTCTCAGACTTGAGTTTTAAAAAGGGTGGGGGTGAGGGATTATAGGGGGGAAAAAAGAAGCAAAGGAAACGAACCAATCAAAGGTTGAGTTTTTGAAAACAAAAACATGTAGGTCAGGAAACCTATTTAAAAAGTGGTTATAAATCAGAGGGTAAGGCTAACTCTTCTCTTGCTGCTGCAACACCACATCTGAAGGTGGGGCAGCCGCCAGCGCAAACTCCCCATGTGTCAAGGGATTACACCCTCATCAGCGTGTTCTATGGAGTGAGCTGTGAATAAATCTCTTGAAAATGCACTTTCTTGCTCTTCCCCATCCTGAAGAGACTTCGGGAAACAGCTTGAAAAGAGACATGTTCTGATGCTCCAGCGAATAAAATGAAATTACATTTTAAGATGTTACAAGTCAACATTAAAAAAAAAAAACCACCACAACAACCTATTTTAGAATGCTATTACAATTCAATATAGAGTCACCCAAGTTGTCTGTGTTTTAGGATAATGTTACTAGTTTGGAAAATACAATTCAATTAACGTTTGTTAAATATAAAGTGTATGTCCAATTTGCTATACTTGTGAGATGCCATTTGAGGAAACTCAATCCACAAAATAACTTCAAATCATGGAATTGCCTCCCGGTTCTTCAGTAGATGGCAAAGTGGGGTTTTCTGCCATTGTGTCGCCAAGTTTGATGAACATGCCAACTTTTTTCCCTCATGAGTCGGTATACAAACACTCACAATGACAGCTGTCTAATGGACTGCTTAGCTGACTTGGGGAAGAGGAAGCGTTTCTACGTCCCTGAGATAATTGGTATAATGATACATTAAGCCTGCTTCTGACAGAGCAGCCCACACGTGGGGAAGCAGGGGAGGAGGGCAAAGGAAGAGAAAGGTGCTTCTGAGAATGTGAACTCTGGGCAAAATCTTCAAGGACGCAAGGAAGGAAAAGCCAAGCTCAGTGCCTCTGGGAAAGAGTTGGTGGATCCTCAAGAAGCTAAATATAGAACTAATATGGGTCTCAGCAATGTGCCCACATGAATTTAAACACGCACACAAATGTTCAGAGTAGCACACACCCACATTCCTGGCAGCATTCTTCACGATAACAAAAAGTTGGAAATAACCTAAGTTCCCATCAAGGGCTGAATGGATAAACAAACTACGGTATACACGTACAATAGAGTACTACACAATGTTAAAGGGTAGCAAAGAATCCGTGCAACCCCTCCTAACAAGGATAAACTTCAAGGGCATTAGGCTGAATGAAATAAGTCAATCACGAAGGGACAAATATTGTACGAGACCACTGCTATAAAAAGTCAAGGAAAGGTTGCACACAGAGAAACACATCCTTTGATGGCCGTCAAGGTTGGGAGGGAAAGCACTTGAGTGCAGACTGCTAACTTGGGTGAAGGGAAAGGCAACGCACATGAAGTGGGCTGTGTTCACAACATGATCAAGGAAATTACATGAGAGTGAAAAGACAACAAAGGTAAATACCCTTACAGTCACTATCCTGCAATCACAAATGCCAGCATGCGAGTAAACACACAGGCAGGCATGCAAGCTGTACAGGTGTGGGGGGCGGTGAGTGATAGAGCAAATATTTAAAGCAGGTATGAAAAATTTTCTATTTTGAAATTCAGTATGCTTTTTCATTTGTATCCTATAGATTCTAATTAAGTTTACCTTAACAGAAGACAGCTTGCAAAGACACACAAATATAAGAGAAAGTTAGAGGAGAGAATGAAAAGATCATGCTGTCCGCATGGATCCACATTTCACTTGAAGGAAGTGCGTGACCATCTAAGTAGTTACTACGTTCAGAGCACGTGGACAGGCGATTGGGCAGTATTCTTTGCCTCCTGGGTGATCTTAACTCTGATTCATTCCATTTACAAGAAAAGACTCATTTTATCAGCCCTTTGTTAACCACTGGATGTTGATCGATCAATAAAGAATTGGGGTGAGGCTGTTTGATTGTCAAATGAGGATGGAGCAAGGTAGACCGACCTAAACCAAACTCACCGCCATTGGGCCAAGCAACAGGTGAAAATCATTTGTGAAAAGAGTTTTCCGTTTCAAAAGAAAACCTGAAGGGGAAATCAGGGTTTTAAATAAATTGTTTTCTATTAACTTAAAAACTCCAGTTTAAAAAAAGAAGGCTTTTGTCATCCACACTTTACACATATGAGTATCTACAGAAAAGTACTTAACTTTGCTACCTGGACCCAGAGACAAGTAGTTTGGTTCCCTCTGTCTCTCACTCACACACAGAGACACAAACACACAGAAACCACTGGTACTGGTGTTAGAGACCCTCCTAAGCCACCCAATGTCCTATTGTTTACACATAAGAAACAACAGGCTACAACTTTCTGCCAATGGTAATCTCATTTATATAAAACAATTTTTTTGTTATTCCTGTCCTCTGACAAACGGTGGCCAAAGATCAGAGGCAGGATTTGAGGAGACTTCGTTTACGAACTAAAGTGACATTCGCCTTTTGTCAGATGCATTCTCAACATTTGAAACTCTCTTCTTATCTCAGTGTCAACCCCCACCCCCCACCCCTACCCACCACCATCTCTCTCTCATCTACTCTTTGGCTCGTCCTCCCTGTTCCTGCTCTCTCTCTTTCCCCATCAGGATAGCATTAGCTTGAAAGCTGACAATTCAATCACATCGCCAGCAACCATTTACTCTGTTATTTAACAGGAGGGAGGAAAACGCAGTTACCATAACAACTCACATCACATGGTAATTATGGAGTATCGAAAATACAGCAAACCATACTCTTCACAGTGTTTTCTAAGAGGAATGTGTAATAAGCACAGATACTATTTCCCCCCATTATTAGGCAGACTTTTTACCTAATTGTTTCATATTTTGAAGCTGCTAACACTACTCTCTATTCTTCATGAAAGAAAGTCCAATATACTTCTATTTCAAATGATGGGTGGACCACAGCACATGTACTTTGGGGCAATGTAGTGAAAATGTTTAAAGGAGGCATAAAACAAAACAAAATTAATTTATAAGGGAGAAATTATCAAACGGTGACCACTTTTTTTAAAACGTGCAACTAAAGAGGCCATTTAGAAGCGTACTCCCAACAAGTCCAGATAACATTCCCTTGAAATAAAAATGGAAAAAGGGAAAGAGAAAGAGAAAACAGAGCTCATTACCTAATGCTGCAATGGAAATAAGGTTGGATAGCAGTACAGGATCAGGAAAATTTGCATGTGCCCAAAGATCTAGGAAATAATGAAGCGAGACTGCTACTGTCATACAGGGACAAATCAGTATCATCCAAT